TCCTATTTATCTTGACAGCACTTTCCAAGTAATCACCCTCACTTAGTGGAATAATAAGGCTCTTGTTGTTTTGTTATTGTTTTCTCTGGAAACCCCTTGGTAGCAATGTTGAATGTTATCGGATATCAAACGCTCACACCTTAGACACTTCGGTGAGATTTTATTCATGGTTAGTGCCTCTCACCTTCAACCAGGAACGCTTGATGCTTTCTCTGTCATTACGGACTGCATCCTTGGTGCCTCTGTTTGGTAGCAATAAGAGAAGGATTAGTTTGTGAGCGGAAGAAGGCATTAGGAAATTACAGAGATTTGAGAGAAGATAATTATTTAAAGATTATATATTTCGTAGTTTCAAATTTAAAATTTATGTCAAATGTCATTGGAATGGTACGTGCATCTATCGGTCTGTTGTTATATAATATATATTTTTTAACTTTAGGGCCTTGTATCACTCAGCATTTGCCTTTGCCACCTCTTGCCTGAGATATTTAGAGATTTGGCTCCATAGGGATGTCTTTTGCCTTTGACTAACTTGCATTATTTCAATCTATGATCATGAAGAGTAATCTAGTTTCTCCAAGCTCTTCTGCTGGACATTTTGGGATGATCTTTTTTCTTTGGCTCTATTTTTGGTTTATGTGAGAGGCACATAGTTCAAAAATGAGACGTCTGAAGATCATTGATCAAATGACATACGGGCATATGTTTCTTCAATTTGAAATTGAAAGCTTTTGCATCTTCAACCAATACCTTTTTTTCAGGGCAAATTCAGCTCGTTGTTTGAGTAATTATTGTTCTTAGAACACATTTTCCCTCGGTGTAAAGAAAAAAAGAATTATGTCAGACCATAAGCTCTTTTCCCATTCCTTGCTCTGAGCTAGACTGTCTATCCTGAATCTTTTTTATTTTACATTTTTTTAAACCGTGGTCTTTATTTTTGAGACAGAAACGGGAGGCCCCACCCGGTGAAAAGCCAGAGCCAGTAAGGACTCACCTTCGCAACATGATAATTGTACCCGAAATGATTGGCAGCATTATTGGTGTCTACAATGGGAAGACCTTCAATCAAGTTGAAATTAAACCTGAAATGATCGGTCACTATCTTGCTGAATTCTCAATCAGTTACAAGCCTGTTAAGCATGGGAGGCCCGGTATTGGTGCTACTCACTCCTCAAGGTTCATTCCTCTTAAATGAAGAGTTCAAGCTCGTCTCTTTTCTAGTTATGGGTGTACCTTTCATTTGCTGTGCCAAACTATTTATATAGTTTCTAGATTTTGCAATGCTTTTTCTGATATCGCTGAACTAGGCATGGATGTTGTTTCCATAAAAAATTAGTGAGCTCTGTGATTTCTTATCCTCTTCATCGGAGTTAAGGTGTATTGGAAAATGTTTGGTTTATGGGAGTAGAAAACAAAACAAAATTTAACTGCTTTTAATGGAGTACTAGTTTTCAATAATTTGAACGTGTTAAAGGTTACCATTATATGTTTTCATTTTTTTTTTGGGTATACTATATGTTCTTGTTATTTAGAAGAAAGTGTCCTCCTCATGTTTCCGTTGCAAATCTTTGGCAAATGTTCAAAGAATATTAACATCGTAGTTTAATTAGTGTGTAGTCATCAAGTGAATAATACTATAAAATTGATTGTTTTTAAAAGGTTTATGTTTCGGAAAAGTAGGCTCGTGTCGCTAGCTTTTGTAATTGGAGTTAAAAGGCATCGAGAGCTGCTGTCCGAACGTTTGCTTCTTGGCAACTTGTTGATTGATTTTGAATCCAGAGGTGTACATTATACGCTGGAACGTCTTGACGTCCAAGATTTGGGCCACAATGATCTTAACATGGTTCCGCATGGCCTGTTTCCTTGACATTATCACCGTTTTCTCATTTTCTGTTTGGAGATATTAGAGATCAGAGATTTTAATAGTAAAGCCGAATACCTGATTTATTGTTCTTCACGGATGCCGCCAATTTTCCCCAGATGCTTCGAGTTCTTTATGGTATATTTGATTTGATACCGTGGAAAGAGTAACAAAGAAATGACCATGAGAATTGGATTAGAAATGATCCTAAAGAACTTATTGTTGAACATTGGTGGAATATCAGCATGATTGAAGTGAAACATGACAGAATCATCAAGGCCCGAGACTAAGAAATCTGGTTATAGTTAAGCCTATTGAATATGTTACAAAATTAAAGTTCTTTTCAAAATACCCCATATTAAATGCTTGGTATGGTTTTAAGCATGCGACAATGTGATTTATTAATTACAATGATTTAACTATTCCATATAATTGATGGGAGCGTGATGAAAATAATGCAACAAATGCCCCAGACACTGGTTTAGTGTTTGTTATGTTTTTCAAATTTTTTTTGAGTGAATATGTTTTTCATATTTATTTCTTATAAAAAGAACGAGAAAGTAATAATTTATGGAATTATCTTTTATGATAAAATATTACAGTATTTATAAAATAAATGAAGAGGTGAAATTAAATTTGCGCCATTTATTCCTACCATATTTAACAGGTGGAATGCGCGGGCCTCAGTAAGTACATTCCATCATACAGAACGAAGCTAGTCGCCGGCCTTTCTCTTTCTACTTTCTTGCTGTTCCAATTAGAGCTGGGAATCAGGGCCAGCCCTTCAGGGCTGGCAGGCTTAAAAGGGCCGGCCATCTAGGGTTGAAATTTTAAAAATACCTCAATTTGCTAAGTCCGGCCCTTAAGCTACAGGGCTAGGGCCGACCCGCAGGCTTTTGGCCCGTTTAATAAAAAATACTATTTTTTATATTTATTATTTTTTTATAAAAATATAAAAATAAACCAATGAAATTATTAATAAAAAATAAATATGAATAAAATTAAGTCACAAATATAAAATATCATCATATATAAATATTCATCAACATCTAAAAACATCTAAAACATTCATTAACAAGATAACAACATCTAAAAGTTTTATCTATAATACAATTGTGCAATAAATAAACACTATCATTCATAAGTATGCTTTTCTTTCGTAACAAAAATATCAAGTTTTTTTTCTTTATAAAAATTTTATTTTTAAATTTTGCAATCTAACTATTATTTTATTTTAATGTGAGAAACATTGTTGTTGAAACTCATAAATTTCTAATTCAAATTATAGAATCACAAGTTATATAAGTATAAAAATATTCTATTATCAAATATATATATAGTTTAAAAATATTAACGCATATAATATAAATCAAATCATTATTAAAGTCCAAATTAACCCATTTTTTAAAAATTTAATTGGATAAATTATTGTCTAAAACTAAATTTAATTTTAAAATAATAATAATAACTAAATATTTAAAATATTATTAACAATGTAAAAAATTAATAACATTAATATTATATAAAAAAATTTAAAAAATAAAAAAAATATAAAATGGCTTAAAAGGGCCGGCCCGCGGCCCTCCAGGGTTGGCCCTTTTAAGCCCTCGACCCTCCAGGGCTTATTTCTCATTTTAAGAGAAAAATATCAAGCCCGACCCTCACAATTTCAAGACCTAAACGGGCCGGCCCGATGGACTCGACCCATTTTCCCAGCTCTAGTTGCAATGAAGCAAAGGAGCCCTCAGTCCCCTTGGAAAAATAAACTAGAAATTCTTTTAAGCATAAAAATTTGATCCCATCAGAGGCCCTGGAGTCCTAGTAGGTGCTAATAAAATAAAGTTACTTAAGTTAATGAACAAAAATTAGGTTATAGATTTCAAATTAAATATTGAGAAAAAAAATATAAACATGCGAAATAAAGTAGATTGAGATAGATTCGGGTTTCAAGAAGCATATTTTTTTCTATTCTGACAGAAATTAGCCTCAAATCTAAGTGAGTTGAGAATATTCTGAATTATACCAAAAAAAACAGATTGAAACTTTGTGTTTCGAACCACGTTAAATTTTTAATTAACTCGGGCAGTAGTAATAAATGATGCGTTTGTTCCTAGTAAGTGTAGCGGTGGGCGTCGGATAGGGTTTGGTCGGGAAAAGAAATTTGCCTCTGGGCCTGTATCACTTAGGCTGGTCCGATTTATTTAGCTTGAATGTGATAGGTCAGTCTTTGAACACGTCTTTTCTTAATTAAAATTTCATGCCTCAAATATCCCTGTGCATCATTGTAATGTACATTTATGTTTCCTCAGGGAAATGACAATAATCTTGGTGGAAAAATAATGACCCTTGCTGTGCGGATGCCACGATGGAATGAATAATGAAAACTAGGAATGTAGAGAGAAATCAAAATAGTACCAACTAGTGGTTAGGCTAGCAAGAGAGACTATTCTCCCACAAAGCTAAGATTCGACGGGAAAAAAGTACACATATTTAGTAGGCTGAGAATTTTTTAATAAAAAAACCAAGTATACCGATTTTCACGCACAATTTCGATTTTTAATGATTATGGAGAGGCGGGGTGTCCTACGCTCATGCCTATTCTCTTCTGGCCGCCGCACCGGCACCGCCTTCTTTACTCACTTCGGGAGAATTGCATTTATATCCCAACAGTGACGCCACAGCTCATGCCTCCTCCCCACTTTCTCCGCTTCATTTTCCCAACGCCCCCAATTCTGAGTATCATTCAAGTTTTTTGGTCAACACTTACTGAACCAAAACTCTCTCATTTATTGCCCCTCTCTCTCTCCCCCCCCCCTTCCGGGTGTGTCCTTGTCAGCCCATCCCATTTCCTTCATAAAACAGTTCTGTGTAGTTTTTCAGAACGGATTCGATTATTATTACTGCAAACAAAACAGCTCCATGATAGAACTCAGGACCATTACAGTATTTAGATACATCATGCATTTAGACCATCGATTCAGGTTACAATACTTTCGTTAACAAAACCCTCCACTGTCTGCTGTACATCACAAGGGCAATACTCCCCCCCAGTCATTTAGAAAACGGGGAAAAAAAACCGAGGGGAAAACTTCTGAACACCTTATCGCCGACCGTTGAGAAGCCCGGACCATAACGCTGTCTAGAAGAGTGGTGGTGGTTGGTTAAGATCAAGCATCAACGGTTTCTTCTCTTTCCGCATCTTTCTCTCCTCTCCCATCACCAAATCCACATTCTCCAACTTGTATCCCTTATACTCCGATCTCCCCGGCACTCCCGCCGTGGCGTCCGCCGCATGATACACCGGAGCCCTCCAAAACCCCACGCGCCTACCAAACATCTCTCCACCATTACCAACACCGCCACTAGCGGTAGAGGCCGCCGCCGGTGACATCGGGACAGACGGAGCAACGGCAACAGCGGCATAGACGAAGTTCGTCTTTGCCCTGGGGCCACGAAGACTCCTGGCAGCCTCATCGTAGGCCCGGGCCGCCTCCTCAGCGGTATCAAAGGTTCCAAGCCACTTGCGCGTCTTCTTCCAGGGATCGCGGATCTCGGCGGCGAATCGGCCCCAGGGACGTTTACGCACGCCTCTAAAATGCGCCTCCTTAGATACCGGAGAGCCGAAATGGAGGGCCTTGGGCGGGAGGGGGGGAGGATCGGAGGGAGGGCCGGGGAGGGAATCGCGACGAAGATGAAGCGCGTCGACAGCCATGAGTGGGAAAGCTAAGAAGGGTCAGAGCTGGGAGAGAAAGTGAGGGTTTGAGGGGTATAAATAGGGGAGGAGACAGTCGGGGCTAACGCCGACAAGCTTGGGGACTGTATTGGGTGCTAAAATTAGAATTAGAATTCACATCGGGGGTGCTCAAATAATAATACTGATAAATAAATACTTCCTCTGTCACTTATTATTATCATTACAAACTTTAAATAAATAAAATTTATAAATAATAAATAATTAGTTAAAAGTATTTAAAATATAATTTTATTTTTAAATATGTTTTTATATAATAAATAAGAAAAAAAATAAAAAAATATGATAAGAACCTATAATAAATAGTTAAGAACAAACTGAAAAAATATAGTAAATATTTAAATAAATTTTAAATTAAAATTTATAAAATAGACTATATCCTTCCTTAAATTTAAAAGTGAGGGTGAATAAATAAAATAAGGAAAGAGTTAATGAGTGAGGGCCGAGGGGGAGGCTTGGTAGGGATGACCGCATCGGATTTAATGGACTGGAGTTAACAGGCGTGTGAGGCACATTTGATGCCGTGTTCCTAAACTTGAGGCCTTTTCTTCTTCTCTTCCCTTTCTACTGTTTTGGCAAAAACGTTTTGGTGATGCTCGGCTGCTCGCCATGTTCTCCCTCGGAAGAAAACATTGATTTTCCTCTTCTTCTTTTTTCCGTCAATTTATCGTTTCCCACTGTCCCTCTACCTTTTTCTTTTTAATTTTAATTATTATCCGACGATTCTGAAAACTGCGGTACAACCGTACAACAACGAGAGAGATATTCACTATCTTGGCAGGTGTTGTACCAGTATTTTGTTTCAGTTATATTTTAATCAAGTATGGTCATCATTAATTTAAAAGGTTGTTAAATAATTTAATTCTTAGCAAAAACATGACCATACTTGATTAAAATATAACCAGACATGTCCTAGATGTGAAGCTTTCTCACAAGTTTTCCAAATTTGCTAACGTGCTTTCAAGTCCTCTACACTTGGGCGTAATAAATTTCTCGTAGGAGATGTTATGCATTCCATACGCTTTTTGACTATTGGTGAGCCGGCGGCCACTGGTCAGTGTTGAAATGTTAAAGAAAATATTTTTCTACAAAAAACAATTCTCCCTAAATTATTAATATCGTAATATTTCCAAATCAAACATATCATAAACTGGACATAGGTATCGAGCTAAAAAAACAAACTCTTTTATATATTTATCTTGTCTTATAAAAACTGTTATTTCTAAAAGCTTCAGTCATTAAGCTGATAATTGGATCTGATTCTCAAAATCGTTCTCGTATTCTTTTCCGTGGGTGTAGAACCAACCTTCTTACGGATCCCGGCTGACTGGAGAAAAGAAATGACACAAATCTGGGGCCTAAGTATTACTCGTTTTGGTTTTTATTATAAATTTGAATAATTAATTTACAGATAACAAATCACTAGTTAAAATTAATTTAAAATGTAATTTTATTTCCAAACATATCCTTATAATAAATAAGAAAAAAAATAAGTGGAGAAATGTGATAAGAGATAGTATAATAAAGAAAAGAAAATAAATAATTAAAGATAAATAAAATATATTAAATGTTATGACAAATCTTAAGTTTAAAATTACAAAATGAATCATATTCCTCCGATCCTTAATATAAGACCTATTTAACTAATTTGATTAGATTAAGGAAGTTAGGTAAGTTAGTTAATTATAAAAAAATATGACATGTTTTTTTGAAACACCATAATTATTTTCCTTATGGTTGAAAGAATATCTATAGGGATAATTTAAAAAAAATTAATAAATATAAAAATGAATCTTATGTTTAGAATCAAAATCAACTAAATAATTAAATATTATAATAATAAAAAAATATTTTTTTTAATTTAAAATTTATAAACAGAACAGAACTAAATTTGAGGACAGGCGGCCTATGCGGCTAATCTGAGTCGGAGGAAGGGATAGCATTTAATGGGAAATTAAGGAGTCAAGAGCAAAGGGTGTGGGATTAAATTTGTTAGCGTAGGGAAACGGGAACATGCTCGGGGGCTGGAGGCTCCATTTATGAAATCAAATGGGAACGCTCCAATGTTAAAGAAAATGGGATAAAAGGGGAGCCAAGGAGAGAGTGACAGACGGGCGGAGAAGAAGCAACCCGACATGAAACACGTGGAGGGCCCCACCCTAGAACGAGGGAGCACGTGGGAAAGGGCGGACGACAAAGAATCGGCGGCTAGCCTAACCCTGAGTCTCCCCTTCCCATCTCCGTAGTCCGTCTGAACCAACGTCCCGTGGTCCCCACTCTACTTCTACTACCCCTCATGAGCACATCGTAAAATTCATTCCATGACTAGTTTATTTTTAATTAAAACGTGTCTTCTATATAAAGTTTGAGGCGAATACATGATTCATGATTTATAAATAATATATTTTTTAGAAACTCTAGGATATATATATATATATAAATATATATCTGCATCCTAGCTTCCTTGGAACTTTTGCAGCAGCCAATATACTTGAGGACGCTGCATGGGGGGGAATTGAGCTCATGTGCTGTCCAGTCCACGCAGAGAATGAGACGACTTGCAGCAGACTTAGCATGTCGTTTCTGACTTCTAGATAAAAACTTCCCATTACTAGGCAAGTTCACCTACTTTGCCCACCGCCAAACCAAACTTCAACGACCAATGATCCTAAGATTGCTCATGGGTTTGTAGTAAGACAGCCCCCAACATTCTGTAACTGATTGTTTCGGCCCAATGGGTTGTCCAAAAACTCATCCCAACCCGTTTTTTCAAGCAAGAAGATCGGTCCGTCCAAGGCCACAGAACTCCCATAACTAATCTAAGCCCTTGAATAATCAATTCCCATATTTTGTGAGAATTGCTGATTAGTCTCCCACTAACACAAAATAGTTGGCCCGTACAGGTATTGTTTCATCATTTGTTCCCTTCCATCCAAGGTCACACAACTCGGCCGCAATCATGATTCATTATTTTGAAACTTGGGTCTGCTCAAATCGATCCCACGTTAGAATTACACCACCATCAACGTTGCTTTCGGTTTTTCCCTCTCTTCCATCCAAATCCAAACGGCATTCCTCGGCCCTCACTACAATGCCGCTGCACGCGCGCACCCCACTTACAACCACACCCCAAAATCCCACGCGTTATCTTCAAGTGGAAGCTTACTGGATAATCCATAATCATTTCGTCCTTTGGATACGGCAACTTTCTAGGTTCCTGCTTCTGCATTATATTAATCGATAATTGATTTCTACAAAAATATTTTACGTACATACACATTCTCATTTAGAGAACTCTATAACAGCCGAATAAAAGATTGAATCACATGCTTTTCTTAAAATCTTTACCCCCAACAACTGAGTTGGTCCCGAGCGGACATTTACGAGTCCATACCTTATTTCAATACAGCCAGAAAACCAAGTACATGTCCCAAAAATGGCTGAACAATTCGGTGTTGCCGAGAGAGATTACAGAGGCAAGAGATGGATTTGATTCTCTAATAATATTGACAACAGTTGGCATTGGACCCAGGAGAACTAATGATGGGGCATGACCGCCCATATTGGTCCCCTTAGGACTCACATGCTCTGCCCATAAACTTTCCCATCTTCAAACTCATTTGAGCAAGCAGACACAGTAGACTGGGGGGAAAATCCTTGCATGGATTGATTTTCAAATCTGGAAAGATCGTGTCTCTTCTCTGGTTTAACCACCCGAAGTTTCGCATTTACATCTATAAACCCAGAAGCCGGCTTGATCTGGGCACTCGGCAGCTTGATGGTCCAAACCACCTTTTAATGGAATACCCCGCACAGATACAGCAGTTGGGGACAAATTTGTGGGAACTCATTATCAGCTTAAAGCTCGTACAGTTTTATGTGTATGTGGTGCGTAGCTTGCTAGCATCTAGACAAAGAGAACTCAATTGAACGGCAGTTATGACAGCACTCCACAGACAGTATCTACGATTTGAAATGGCATGTCATTCATTAACAAAAACCTAGTGATGTTTACAACATGCTTGAGAAAGATGAAAATGGTTCCTTCAAATCGAAACTACCCAATTTTACATTTTTTTGGGACCATTGATCCTCATCCCCTTTCTTCCAACCCAAGAGCTCATCAGCCAGCTAACCAGGATTGAAAAAGTGTGCTGAGAACATCCCTGCTTGCACAGCTGAAAATATGTACAGCAGCATCTGAAGCCAATCAGAGACAAAATTCAATGTTGGGCTTGCTTGATCTGGGTTAAGCTCTCCATGAATTTCATGCATTTGCAGATTGAGTTGGCATTTTAGGGTGGTTATGTTCGCCTTCATATGTAACAATTAGCATGGAAGGGTCTTCCAAGCACCTCTCAACATGCTTCCTAGCAGGGCAACCTCTCATGCTGCTGCACTTATAGTATCCCCTGAACAAAGCGATTCTAGTCAATTTCCTCAAATAAATCTTGCAGTTCATACTTTCGGATGAAACATGAAACTGGAAATCATAGTTAATAATCAGTTATATACATTTCACATGCGTGGGTACCTACCTCCGCCTTACATTAGATTGCTGGTGAGGAACGAATAATCATGAACTAACGTTCCCCACATATAGGTGTCCATGTTGACACCACTAAAATGATAAAAAGTTAATTTTTCAAACATGTTCGTCAAAACAAAACTATGAGCAACTCTAAACTGATTTATTTCAACGTTGAATCTACAATACAGCACCATATGGCACTGTGGATGTGAGATTGGAACAGGAAGATGATGAGAGACTGGTGACATAGCATACGAACCCAAAGGCACAAGAAGAAATTTATGAAATGATGATAGATTTATCTACCTCAGTTCTTCTCAAGAACAAACGACGCATATGCACATGCTTTTCAGCTCTCATTGAAGCATTAACATGAACAAACACAAAAACACGCCCAAAAATAAAGAAATTGAAGAATGAAGAACGAGGG